ATTATGAGAATATGAGGTATGCCTTGAGTTTGTGTGTATGTGTGTGTGTTGCATAGAGAGTAAATGTGCCGGTATGCCTTTAAGGGCCATTTAGGATGTTTTTTGGTATTTATTTCACTCGCAGAATTTAGTAGACCAAATCAAACTTTTGCATTTGTAAAATACATAGATAATAGACATCTAACGAACCAGTTCAGACTAGATCACAAGAGACTATGCTTAAACATCTCACACCTGACCAGATCAGCCCAGAACAGATCAGACCAAACCAGAAAATTCCAGTCTAAATAAAAAAAAATGGAGTATATGTGCAACAATTTTTTAATGGACATTAGTTGTTTGAATGTAGGGTTCTAAAGTTGGAACATTTTATATAATGCATCAAAAAGATGGTTGCCTCTAAAAACCATTCTAAATATAGGTATAATAATGTTGCCCATCACTACATCCCGTGCAATGCACGGGTGGAAGTACTAGTCATAATAATGTTCAAAAAAACAAATAGTCATAATAATGTTCAAATAACAAATGGAAAGCAACAATCTAGTATTTTGTTGGAGGTATTGGTCCTACCAAGGCCTCCCTTCCACTTTATTTGTTGAGGCTTGCACCCTATTGTTTTACTCCCACTTTGGTACCTTTACCTTGGTATTTTATCTGATCAATAACATACCTATTTGAGGGTTGACTTACCCACTTGGCTGGCCCCTCTGTGTTCTGTCCGCTGCATACTCCATTTGTCTTGGTCTTGCTTGTGACTTTCCTTTGTCTAAGATGCATGTGAGTGTCTTTTGTATTGACCTCACCCGTGACTTCCTTGGCAGCCTATTAATAGTCTTTGCTTCTTCCTTGTGAGCCTCAGCCTGCGAGAAACACTTCTATTGAGAGCAGTGCTCTCCTTCTCTTTCCCTTTGTGTGAGAACTGAGAGGGACTTAGTGGTTGAGCTAAAAACCTTAGTGTGTGCTATAGCCTCCTCCTAAGTGTGGTGTGTGAGAGTGTGTGTTGAAAGACCTGAGCCGGAGACGGAAGAAACGATCCTTACAGTGGTATCAGAGCCTGGTTCGCCGTCTGCCGCCGTCTGCCGCCGTACGCCGCCGTACGCCGCCGCCGCCGCCGTCGATTGGAGCTCGCCGAGGTCGCTGGAGCTGGCCTCCTTGTTCGCACGAACTCACTGGCCTTCCATCGTGGCTTCTGCTTGTCGAAATCAGGCTTGTGAGAAGCTCAAGCCACCTTACCCGAAGTTTCAGCCCATCTTCGATTCTGGAGGAGTCAGACCAGAATCGTCGCTTGTCGCAGAGGAGTCGCCGCCGGAGTTCTCTGTTCTTCACCGGAGATAGCTCGCCGTCCTTCACCACCACAGCTCGCCGCCGGTCGCCTGGGTAATCACCGGCCGTCTTTCCTCGGGGGTCGCGAAAAAAAAAGGAACGAAGAACACTGTTCGTTCATTCGCGTAGGGGGAAGGACGAAGTGCACTTCATTAATTTGGTCTGCTGACTGTTGACTAAATTGGTGGGTTTGCTGAAGGTATTTGTTTTTTGGGGGGGGGGCTGTTTGGGCTGCTGTTTTGGGCTGGCGAGACTGGACCTGGGCTGGTGTTTGTTGGAACTTGAAGCTGAGCTGCTGGACTGGAGCTGCTTGTTTGCTGGACTGCTGGGCTGGATTGTGGACCGGGCTGGAGCTGCTGGACGCCAGTCAACCGCCGCCGGTCAACTGCCGGTCAACGGTGGTCAACGCCGGTCAACTCAGTCAACACCTCCAGAAAAATCCCAATTTTTTAAATTGGGTAGGTAAGGTCGAAACGCTCTCCTAGGGTTTCGCGAAGGTAAGTTTTCTGTAAACTTCCTATTTGTTATATTCCGAATTTTAATTTAATTTAATTTATTCCCCCTCCCCGCGGGCCGCCGGTTGATTTAATCCCGGTCGCCAACCCCCCAGGTACGTTTTCTAAACTCACTCCTTTGTGGTAGTTTGCTTTAGTTAATTAATTAAATTGCTTTGTGTTATTTAATTTAATTGTTATGCATAGGGGTGGTTTATCGGGTGGTAGGGGTAGAATTAATTAATTTTAATTTTCTGCCCGGAATTGTTTAATTGCCATTATGTCCAATTTTTTGTTATGTGTTGCATGCTGCCCGGGGTTATTAAAGTGAATACTTTATAACCCGGGTTGGATTATTTTCTGTCAATTCAGTCTGTTTTGCTTTGTGTTCCTTTGTGGTTGATACCATGGCTGCAAATCAGTATGGTATGCTTCCATTTAATGGAAAAACAGATTTTGATATTTGGAAACAGAAAATAAAATGTGTTTTAATACAGCAAAAAGTTTTCAGAGCTGTCACTGGTATTTTCCTTGAATCAGAAGATAAGGCTAAGCAAATTGAAATGAACGAAACTGCTTGTTCTACTATTTACTTGAATCTGTCTGATTCTGTGCTTAGGAAAGTAGGTATCCTTGAGTCCGCTAAGGAGTTGTGGGAGAAATTGGATAGTCTCTATACTGATACCTCTTTGCCCGGGAAGTTGTTCTTACTAGAGAAATTCTTTAGGTTTAGGCTTGACCTGACTAAGGATATAGATGAGAACCTGGATGTGTTTAATAAACTGATACAGAATATCAAACAGGCAGGTGATAAACACATAGATGATTACACTCCCATAGTATTACTTAATGCCATTCCCGACTCTTATAATGATGTTAAGTCCGCTATTAAGTACGGTAGGGATGAGATTTCATTAGACATTGTAGTGAATGGGTTAAGGAGTAAGGAATTAGACCTGAAGCATGCTAGGGGTAGTGCTAGTCAGTCCAGGGACTCCGGTGAGGCTATGTTTGTTAGGGGTAGATCTAAGGGTAGGTCTAAGAATCCTAAGCAAAATAGTCAGGGTAAGAACGCTAGTCAGCCTGGGAGGAAGAGGAGTAAATCTAGGAAGAGAGTGTGTTACAATTGTGGTAACACTGGCCATTTCATTAAGGATTGCCCCCACCCTAAGAAGACCGAGCATGCTAGTGTAGCTGTTGATAAATGTGACCTTGGTGATATTTTGATGGTTTGTGACCATGTTAACTCTGTGAGAAATTCCCTGTCTGAGCATGAATGGTTGATTGACTCTGGTTGTACCTATCACATGTCCCCCTTTAGAAATTTGTTTTCTACTTATGAATTATGTGATAGTGGCTACGTTTCCTTAGCTGATAATAAGAGATGCAATGTGCTTGGTGTTGGTGATATATGTCTGAAGTTTTCTTGTGGCTCTGTGTTTACCATTAAGAATGTGAGGCATGTCCCTGATTTGTGTCATAACTTGTTATCTGTTGCTGCTTTGGAGAGTAGTGGGTTACAGGGAAAATGGGGGAATGGTTGTATGAAAATCCTGAAAAACTCGCTTGTTTTGTTTAAAGCTGAGAAGGTGAATAACCTTTATGTGTGTCATGCTAAACCTTTTGCTGAATCTGTGAATGTTGTATGTTCTGATAAGACCTCTTTGTGGCATAATAGGCTAAGACATATGAGCAATAAGGGTTTAGATGTCATGCGTAGGGCTGGTTATTTTGGTAAGGACTCTGTGACTTCTGTGCCTTTCTGTGAATCATGTGTGTTGGGCAAGCAGCATAGAGTCAGTTTCCCTCCTTCCTCTTACCCTAATCAGTCTAAGTGTTCGTCTGTGCTTGAATATGTTCATGCTGATGTTTGGGGTCCTGCCAGTGTTCCTACCCACGGGGGTAGGAAATACTTCCTTTCTATCATTGATGATTTCTCTAGGAAGGTGTGGGTTTGCCTTTTAGAACACAAGTCTGATGTGTTTGTAAGGTTTAGGGAGTGGAAAACCCTAGTTGAAAACCAAACTGGCAGGAAGGTTAAAACCCTTAGGACCGATAACGGGTTAGAGTTTTGTAATAAGGAGATGGATAAGCTTTGTGTGGATTGTGGGATAAAAAGGCACAAAACTGTGCCTTATACTCCCCAACAGAATGGGATAGCAGAGAGAATGAATAGGTCTCTGTTGGATAAGGTTAGAAGCATGTTAGCTACCTCTGGTTTGTCTAAGAAATTCTGGGGTGAAGCAGTCACTACTGCTGCCTATTTGGTTAATAGGTCCCCGTCAGTCCCTCTTGGTGGTAAGTGTCCTGAAGCCGTCTTTACCGGTAAGCCTCTTGATCTGTCTAACCTTCGGGTGTTTGGTTGTGCAGCGTATGCACACCAACAGGGTGACAAGTTGGATCCTAGGTCTAAGAAATGTGTCTTCCTAGGTTATCCAGAGGGGGTAAAGGGTTACAGGTTATGGGATAGGAACCAGGTAGGCTTTAAAGTGGTCCTTAGCAGAAATGTGGTGTTCAATGAAACTGATTTTCCTTGCTTGACCGAGTCTGTTTCTAATCTTGAGTCTAGGTCTGATAGTACTCCTAGTGAGGTGGAGTCTGTCCCTGTTGCTGCTAGTCCTTTATCTGTTGATCCTGTTATCTCTGATGATATTGTTATGCATGATTCTGATTCCTCTGAGCATGATAGTCCCACCACCTCGAGTGAGGTGGAGCATTTGCATGATACTGAGCATGATTTGCATGATATGGGTGCTGAATCTGATTTTCATGATAACAATAATTTGCATGAGTTGCATGTGGAGCCTAGTAGTGATAATTTGCATGATTATCAACTTGCTAGAGATAGGAGTAGAAGGGCTATCAGGAGAACTGCTGATAGTATGCCTGATTATGCTTTCATTGTGCATGATACTTCTATGTTTGCATTTTCTGTGTTTGAATCCCTAGAGCTGAATGAACCCAAGACCTACCGTGAAGCCTTAGGTTCCAAAGAGTCTCAGAAATGGATTAGTGCCATGAAAAGTGAGATGGACTCTTTGAGAGTGAACCAGACTTGGACCCTTGTACCTAGACCCCCCAACTGTTCGGTAGTTGAGTGTAAGTGGTTGTTTAAGGTTAAGGAAGAATCTAGTGATGTTAGGTTTAAGACTAGGTTGGTTGCGAAGGGGTTTACTCAAAAAGAGGGGGTAGATTATGCAGAAATCTTTGCTCCTGTTGTTAAATTCACCACTATCCGTATGATGCTTGCTTTAGTTGCTCACCATGACTGGGAAATGAAACAGATGGATGTAACTACTGCATTTTTGCATGGTGAATTGGATAAAACAATTTATATGACCCAGCCTGAGGGCTTTGTGGATCCCAAGAGAAGTGAACATGTCTGTTTGCTTAGGAAGGCATTGTATGGCCTGAAGCAATCCCCTAGGCAGTGGAACATCAAATTTGATAAATGCATGATATCTTTGAAGTTCCAAAAATCTGTTTGTGATCATTGCCTGTATTTCAAAAATACTTCTTCTGTGCCTGTATTTTTGTTACTCTATGTGGATGACATGCTGATAATTAGTCCTTCTCTGAATGCGATTAAAGATGTGCAGAAATGTCTTTGTGCGAATTTTGCCATGAAAGACCTAGGTGATGCCAAGAGGATCCTAGGCATAAACATTGTTAGGGATAGGAGCAAGCGTACTCTTACTTTGAATCAGATTTCTTACATAGAAAAAGTTTTGAGTAAATTCAATATGTTATCTGCTTCTCCTGTTAATGTCCCTATGGCATCTCACTTTGTGTTAAGTAAGGACCAGTCTCCCAAGACTGCTCCTGAAATTGAGAAAATGAAATCTGTGCCTTATTCCAGCGCAATAGGGTCGGTGATGTATCTTATGGTTAGCACTAGACCTGATATTGCATATGCGGTTAGTTGCTTGAGTAGATATATGTCCAACCCTGGTTTGCCTCATTGGAATGCTCTTAAGTGGTTGCTTAGATATCTGATTTCTACTGTGAAGCATGGATTAATTTTCTCTAAGTGTGCTAGTGGTATTGAATTGATTGGTTATGTTGATTCTAACTATGCAAATGATAGAGATAACAGGAAGTCGACCACTTCTTATGTTTTTACTTTGTGTGGCTCTTGCATTAGTTGGAAGTCTCAACTACAGCCTATTGTGGCCCTTTCTACCACTGAGTCCGAGTATGTTGCAGCCACAGAAGCGTTTAAGGAAGCCATCTGGCTCAAACGCCTTGTCTCCGAAATTGGGTTTCTCAAAAAGGGAGTTACCATTTTCTCGGATAGCCAATCGGCTATCCAACTTTGCAAAAATCCTGTATTTCATGATAGAACTAAGCATATTGATGTTAGGTTCCATTTCATACGTGATATTGTTGATGCAGGTGGAGTCAAGCTGTGCAAGATCCCGTCGGAGTTTAACCCCGCGGATATGGGTACCAAGTGTCTTTCTGCTGAGAAGCACTTGTCCTGTAAACGCGTGTTAAACTTTGACTGTGGATAACTGTGGGTTGCCTAATAAAGTGTTTGCCCGTTGTGTCTGTTGATATTCCGGGTGACCCGGCGATGATGAGTCTTGTCACAACCTTGTATTGTTACTCTACACCACCTAGGACCAATAAGGTGGAGAATGTTGGAGGTATTGGTCCTACCAAGGCCTCCCTTCCACTTTATTTGTTGAGGCTTGCACCCTATTGTTTTACTCCCACTTTGGTACCTTTACCTTGGTATTTTATCTGATCAATAACATACCTATTTGAGGGTTGACTTACCCACTTGGCTGGCCCCTCTGTGTTCTGTCCGCTGCATACTCCATTTGTCTTGGTCTTGCTTGTGACTTTCCTTTGTCTAAGATGCATGTGAGTGTCTTTTGTATTGACCTCACCCGTGACTTCCTTGGCAGCCTATTAATAGTCTTTGCTTCTTCCTTGTGAGCCTCAGCCTGCGAGAAACACTTCTATTGAGAGCAGTGCTCTCCTTCTCTTTCCCTTTGTGTGAGAACTGAGAGGGACTTAGTGGTTGAGCTAAAAACCTTAGTGTGTGCTATAGCCTCCTCCTAAGTGTGGTGTGTGAGAGTGTGTGTTGAAAGACCTGAGCCGGAGACGGAAGAAACGATCCTTACATATTTGTTTTGGTGTAAAGGAAAATCACACGAAATGAAGCATAATAGTTCATATCCTTGGATGTCAAGGGCAAGTTATATATTAGCTTCAGTCCATCGATAATCCATTGAATATCTTATCCATCAGCCATGAAGGAAACATATTAGGTGAGACTTGACCTAAACATGATGAAAGTGAATCATCAAAACAGCTGCTATAATCTTTTCTTGCGACAGCACGAGGCCGAAACTCAATGCCTTGAACGATAATAAATTCATAATCCCAATCAACAGCAACAGACACTCGCAGATCCTCATCGTTGCCATTTGCTCCATTATTGAAGAAGGATTTGATTTCTATCTCCTCCCACCCATCTTTTCCAACCCTCTTGTTATCTCCAATTATAGGGAAATCCTCAAGGGCATCAATGGATGAATCACTATGTTGGTAATAGCCCTCCTCGTATGCATCTTCATCTTTGTACATCAAACAACACGAGTAATGTGTTTCCTTGGATAACAACATTTGATTTGGCATTTTGAAACAAATGTCAAACACACCAAAGTTCAACGCGAGTTCAGCTACCTCCTTGAACCTGTGTAGTCATTAATGTATATAGACACACACAAAAAGTAAGATAGCAAATACTTAATAATACAAATGTATCGAAAATTTTGAAACTCTAATCAAACCTAGTAAAAAATCTAAAACTGTGCCTGAAACTGCTAAAATTGGTTGAATATTACTCCGTAAGAATTATGAAAAATTGTTCTCATGATATCTTTTATTAATCTTTTATTAATAAAATGGTGTAGAAAGGAAGGCCCCATAAACCTTTTTAGAAAATTGAACAAGAAAGTAGTTATAACTTTAATTTTTTGGATTATATTATTATCTAAATCTTGTGTGAAATCAAAACTCAATATTTTATTTATTCGTCAAAATATCAATTGATAAGGTGAAAAAGAAGCTAAGGTTAATAATTAAATGAGATCCTAACTTAATTAATGGTTTTGGCTCCAGGTTAGTCATGGACCAGTTGCCGACTCATTCAAGGGATGAAAGGTAACCTGACCCTTATAAAAATTCAAAATAGTGCCAAAGTTTTTTATACTACGTAATATAAAGGAGCAGTTTTTTATGTTAACCCGCTAGATACAAAACAGACAATTTTAAGTTTAAAACGACCAAAACCGAAAGCTTATCTATCCAAAGTACTCAAAATATCCAAATATCCAAATCAAACCTATTGGAACTAAAATAAAAACAAGTCTTAATGAAGAAAAAATAATACTCGAATAGTCTTAATGACTTTCCACGAAACTCTTTCTGATACTTAAACACTGTTTGAATATTGTTTTGCACTGTTTTGATGTAGATGATTTGCAAAATAAGAAAAGAGAAACTTAATTCAGGGACTGCCTAAAAAAGAAAGGGGGAACTTGTTTAAGGGACAGAGAGAGTATAAGTTTTTTATTTGTATTCCTATTTTTACAAAAAAAAATATATTTAAAATCAGTAATTTTTTTATTACTTTTCATATGACATCAATATTGCATATATAATTTTTTTTAGAAAAAATTGTTGGGTGTATATATTGACTGTGCTGGATTGCACGAAAAAAATAAATTGACATAATGAATACACCAAATTGGTACAAACTGGTTGAGAATTTGATTTATTGGTGGAGTAAGGTTGCGGTCTTGTGGATAATCAAACAAACCTGGCGTTTGGGTCAGGTCTGCTTTTCGGGTACTCGGCCTTAACATTTGTCCAAGGAAAGCAAGCTCCACAGGTGCAACTGTAACACCCTACCCGAACCGGCCCCGCCGACCCGAGCGGTGTGTCACGTTGCATGAGTCAAACAGACTTTAACCAAAAGACTTTTAATAATTTAAAACAAAATTAAGTATTTTAATAAAACATTTTGATTCAAATGTCAACTAATTAATCAATTCCTGAAAATATTAAGTCGTCATAAATAATAAAAAGTCTACCTAACTTAAAAGGCATACGAACTAACTTAACGTATTGGTCCCGTAGCCTACCGACTAACATTACCACCAGAGTTGAGCCAAACACATGATGTTTTTCATGTGTCAATGATAAGAAGATATAGATCTGATCCTTCACATGTATTAACACCTGGAATCATGGAGCTTGATAAAGATTTAACGTATGAAGAAGAACCGATACAAATACTTGCTCGAGATGTGAAGGTGTTAAGGAATAAAATGGTTCCCTTAGTCAGAGTTCATTGAAGGAACCACACCATGGAAGAAGAAACTTGGGAAACCGAAGAAGTCATATGATGACCCAATATCCATATTTGTTTAACGTTAACTCAAGTAATTTCGAGGACGAAATTCTTTTAAGGGGGGAGAAATGTAACGTCCCAAAATATGGTCTAGTAGTTAAGATAGATTAAATTACTTTATCAAATCTAATATCTTCTCCTACTTCATGTAAATATAAAATAGAATTTTATTAAAAAGAGTATTAATGATAAATTAATAGAAAAATAGTACATAACTCTAACACTATTCTAAGACATTTAAATTATACTAGAAACCAACAATACGTGTCCTATTTATTAAGTGAAGTTTCGTACTAATCTAAATAGGGATTTGAACAATTCTAAAATCAATTATAATAATCAAATATCTTCAATTAATGAGGAATGGGCAGCCACCTAAGGTCAATTCATGTACTCCATAATAAATTCATGTACTTCATATACCTACCATAATAAGCTCTATGAATAGTTACTCAAAATAATTATGTCTTCCAAGCATTTCTCTACCATGGGGATGGATGATCAAGACTATATATATGTACACTTACTTATCTCAAAACTTCATAGACAACATACCATGCGGCCAGCCAATATTAAAAAAAAATACGGAGTAGTACATATATTTAGTAAGAAAGAGTTGATGTGAGCAAGTGGAAGAGGTTGAAACGAGCTCAAGGAAAATAGCTTCCGACCCGAAAATCATTAAGGTTCCGTATATAAGGTCAGTACTTCTGACCCAGTTTTAGTTCATGTATATTTTAATATTATTTTGTAAGTATAATTTCCGTCCCCGTTTCATGTTGAGTTGTGGGGATGATGAAGAATCACATAGCCTTAGAATATTTTGCATGCTCTAAATACATGATATTAGTATTCGGTAAATATATGTTAAGTTATACATGATGAATATTATTTAGCCTTAGAAATACTTGTATGCTTTAATTATGTGTTCATGATTTATAAGAGCCATTATTGATGATTACAGTATACTTGTAAATGAAAATAAAATGAAAACGTTCAATTGACGGAACTGAAGTTTGGTTGCATGTACCGATTGGAAAAATATAAAAAGAACCACCGACTAAGTTTATATGAAATGTATACTTCAAGGATTCCATATTTCTGATACATGATAAATAAATCAGTAAAACTAATCCTTGTAAAAATTATGCACATACACAGTTAAATATAGCTATAAGTCAGTTCATAATTTGTAAATAAATAATAAAGTGATTTGTTTTCGTAGATAATTAAGTAGTACATGTGTACGATAAGGCCAATTAAGATTTGTCAACATACTTAATATATATAGAAATTACTTCAAATAGGACTAAAACTATGGCAAAAACTCAAAATAGGACTTGCTATGTTTTTTATTCCAAAATAGGACCATAGTGGTCCTATTGGAAACATACTCATTTCTTCCTTCCATTCTTACCCCTCCTTTAAATATTAGTAAAAGATAGCTAAAAGTCATAATTAGATGTTTAATTCATAATAAATTCGAAAAAAATTCAATAATTCGAAGAAAAATAATAAAAAATTAATAAAATTTTTATAAAATAAAAAATAAGGAAAAAAATATTTTTTTAATTTTTTTATTTTTTTTGAAAATTAATAAAAAATAGTAAAACTCCATTAAAAAAATTAAAAAAAATATGGATATCTTTCCCACCGCCTGTACTACCTCCCTGAACCACCACCTCCAATCGGTGTAAAAAATGCCACTTTTTTTTTAAATTCCACAAAAATGGCATATTTCTCTATGAGAATGCCAACATTTTCATTCTGCCAACTTGAATCCTTTTGACTTTTGCCAAAAATATGGCATTCATAATTTTTTTGGCATTTTTTTACCCCGGTGACAGGAGGCGGTGGTACCGCCTCCCTGCACCACCACCTCCGACCGTTAAAAAAAATGTCATATTTCCTACAAACTTCCATTTTTTTCGGAAAATGCCAAAAATATGGCATATTTCTCTTTGAGAATGTCAACATTTTTTTTTCTCCCATCTTAAATCATTCTGAATTATGCCAAAAATATGGAATTCATAATAAATTTGGCATTTTTTCCCCAAATGACTAGAGGTGGTGGTGCTGGGGTGGCAGAGGCGGCGGTGACAAAAAAAATATTTTTTTGATTTTTTTTTAATTTTTTTTATTTTTTTTAAATTTTTTTTAATTTTTATTTTTGTAATTTTTTTTTTAAAATTTATTATTATTCAAAATATTTTTATTAATTTTTTGGTATATTTTACGAATTTTTATTATTTTTTATTATTTTATTATGAATTAAAACATTCCAATAGGTATAAGGGTATATTTGTCCAAGACACACATAATTAGTCCTATGGAAACATAGTTTATTTTTTGGTCCTATTTGTGCAAAATGAATGACTTTTAGTCCTATTTTGATAATTAACTCTAATATATAAGTATAAACATATATAGGTAGTTAAGTAAGTTAGACAAATTTATTTTACGTAAGCACTTATATTGATTATAATATTATTGAATTCAGTAAATTAGTTTTGAAAGTCACAAGAGTTACGATTTTATAGATACTAATATATAATCTATATATTCATTAATATATACGTATACTTAAGTAATTTACTAGATAAATTATTAATAAGATTGAAGGTTTGCACGTATAACTAGTTTGTGGGACCATGATAATTACTAATATATAATTTTATTATGATTAAGAGTAGTTGACTTTAGTAAATACATGTATACATATGTGTTAGTGTTATGATACGTGTAAGACTTATATTTACATGCATTATTTTAAGTACTATACATGTGTCCTTTTATAATTATGATCCTAGATATTATTATTCGTATCCAAGCAAACACATGTGATGGAAATTTATTAAATGGTTTTATTTATAATTATGGCTAAAGTAATGACTGGACATATTGAATATATAAAATCTTTATAAATAAATATATATGATTAAGATACGATGAGTAGAAATTAAAATTAATGAAAACATACGGTACAGATTTAGTTATACCAATACCGAAAAATGTTCCTAAATGTAAGATATGTTAACTTCAGTATTTTTATTGTAAACAAATTAAAGAAAAATGTTTCTCAAAGGTCTTGCTCTTGATCCGGTACTCTGACATGAATACTCCTGATCTGTTCTGTTTAGTGTACTACGTACACTCCTGAAATTCTGTCTTAGAGGAATTAGTGTTCTCCTGTTTAGTGTACTATGTACACTCCTGAAATCTTTTTAGAGCACTATTACTCTTCTGATAAGGTTCGAGTCTCTTCGGTGATCTCGTCCTTTCTGTTCAGCTAACTTCTGTTAGGGATTGGTACATGTAGCTCCGGCGATTACGTTTCCATATCCTTTCTGGGTAATGTGGGTATGGACTTTATGTCCGTATTCCTTACCATTAGTATTCCTCTGTCTAGGATAAGAATTATTTGATAATTATGATATCTGAATATGCTTCTGATCTGTATATGAATATTTTGATTTTCATGACAGTTATTCGGCTCACTCAGTGACATTCACATTATTTCCATGTTTATATTTGTGTTTTTGATTAGTTTTGAGTGATTATTACTCTAGAAATTACACACTTTTGGTGTAATAGTTTAGTTTGTAAAATGTTTGTAAATTGCTTAGATTAGGTTTGTTCTGAGCTCAAACAGGTCCAAAACCACTCTAGGGACCATTGGTGAACATCACAAATGGAAGGAAGGTGCAAAAATTCCGAAACAAAGTGAAGATCCT